TAAATTTGTTTTTTAATCTGTCCCTAGTGACATCAGTATTCTGGCAGTAGCAGGGACTAATTCTGGGCTTCTTTCCAGACTGATGTCTTTGATCAGCTAATCATCTTGATAGAACAGAGGCATTCCCAGTAGAACAGAAGGTACTGGGGATTCTTCCAGATACTCAGATTTTTATGTGTAGCTTGTGCTAGGAAAAATTTGGGCTAAGCTCTTTGAAAAGCATCATGTGAACCCTGTGTTTTGGAAGAGTGTCTAAAATGAGGTGATGTGTAAAGAACCAAATAATCATGCAGAATTCTTAGCAAACAGGAAGATACGTGGGAAAAGAGAAGACAGTGGCTAATGGGTCCCATTTTTATTTGAGTTGAGCAGCTTCTTCAAAGGGAAATACGGAAATGTGGTACTGAGGTGTGAGTCTTTCCACCCTGTTGTTTTTCTTCAGGCAACAGATTGCTAGCAAGTCTATTTTATACCCTATATATATATATATACCCTATATACTATAAGAGTAGTTTGCATCACTGTCAATATGTTCCCTCAATTTCTCCAGGTCATCTTTAATTTTGTTTATTGTTTTAGCTTTTTTATTAAAGAATAATGCAGCTTGCACAGGTTTTGTGTTCATAGCAAATTCTAATTTTCATGTGGGCTTCCTCCCCCACCTTCCCCCTTGAAGAAATCGGTGTTATCTGATGTCTGTTTGGACAAAAGACCACTCTAACAAGTAGTCTTACTTCATGGGTAAGTTTAGGTTTCAGGGATGTTCTTTATGTAGTCCATTGTGTTACTTGCCAGCTTCCTTTAACAGTCCTCTTACAGCACTCTTTAATTTAACTGAGCCTTCAGGCAAGAGAAGGGCTTGGTTAGTTTGCTTGTTAGGAGTGTGTGACTCCAGTAACAGCAGGCTGTGTGAAATAGGTTGGTCTCAATTCTGCTCTAAGTGCAGAGAATTCCACTGGGTGTAATCTAGATGTAGCATCCTGGTGGAAATTACTCACTTTAATGACTGAATATGAACATTTGCTAAGTCTTCCGTCTGAAAGCGGACCTACTGGTGTGAAGTTCAGCGTGCATCAGTGAGATGTGAAACTTGAACTGCTCTTGCTGTACAAAGAATTTGCAATGGACAAATAGAAGACCTCATTCTTGGGCTAAAAGTTCTTCAAGGATTAAGTGCAATTTCAAAAGAAAACTTTTTAAACACCTTCTAAAGATCTTCAAGTATAGTCTACAGTAATACAACATGCTGTTAAAATCTTTTGTATTCTCAAGACCTCCATAACAGTAGTACATCTTGAAGATGGGTGTTTTGGGGGAGAGTAGTCAGAAAGCTCAACAATGGGTGGTTATTCTTGGTTCTTTTTGATCCCCCCCCCAACCCTGCAGAAATGTGGACTTCTGCTGAGTCTTTGCCATGTTGTCCATTATAATAAATGAGTCACAAAATTAATTACTATGGTTTTCTGCATACTCTACATTCTTTTCCTTCTTTAATGTTAACATAGGGCTTATAGTGCAATGTAATACTGTTTTCAAAATTATGGATTAAACTAACAGAAAAACGTGAGAAGCCTTGAATTTGCACTAGGTCTCAGTGGAATTAATAGCCTGAAAACCTTCAGATTTTTGGCAGTTTTTACCCTGCACTATTATCTCCATCTGCTACTTCATTTGGAAAATCAGTCTCATGGTATGTACAGTGCTTGATTGGTGTGGAGATGAGGGGACAGAAGGGATTTGGTACAAATTGTAAGAACTCAATGGAGGTGGGTATATCATCAGTAAGTATTTTAGAGAGTCAAGGCCAAAGGATAAATTAGATTATTCTAGGAATTCTGTAGACTTGAGACCATTCAGTTGTCTTTCACCTGGTTGCTTTGCACATGAACTACACTATGGCTGTGGTCTGCACCTTCTGCTGCTGTTGACTGCAGTGCTGTTTAAAACTGGTATTAGGAGCAGTTGCTCTCAACAGAAGCATTGTTCCTCCTGTGGCTCGGTTGTGGTTTTTTGAAAAGTGAAAGTAAAGGAATGGTGTTCTACAGACTAACATTAAGAGCATTGTTTTGTTTATTCAAAGTGTATGCTAAAATATATTTTTAATTGTCTTTTATTCTCCTCTGTGCATTCTCTTACGTGCCGGTAATGGACAGCACTGTTCAGCACTGGTGAGGCCGCACAGTTCTGGGCTCCCCAGTGCGAGAGAGACATGGGCATACTTGAGAGAGTCAGAGCATGATGCAGGGGCTAGAGCATCTCTCCTATGAGGAAAGGCTAGGAGAACTGGGACTGTTCAGCTTGGAGAAGAGAAGGGTCAGGGGGATCTCATCAATGTATTTAAATACCTGAAGGAAGAGTGCAAGGTGGGCAGAGGAAGGCTCTTTTCAGTAGTGCCCTGTGGCTGGTCAAGAGGCAGTGAGTTCAAGCTGAAACACAGGAGGTTCCCTCTGAACATCAGGAAATACTTTTCACTGTGAATGTGAACGAGCATTGGCACAGGTTGCCGAGGGAGGTTGTAGAGCCTCCATCCTTGGTCATACTCAAAAGCTGCCTGGACATGGTCCTGGGCAGCCAGCTCTAGGTGGCCCTGCTTGAGCAGGGGGGTTAGACCACATGAGTTAGAGAGGCCCGTTCTAACCAATCCCAGCCATTTTGTGATTCTGTAATAAATATTTATGCTCCTTGTTAAATGTCAGAATGATTTTTGCTTTCACCACCTTGGCAACAGTAGCTGGTGGAATCTCGTAACCATTTCCATAGATGTGAGAAGGATTTATGCCTTTATTTTCCCGAAGGAACTGCCTCATCCTGATTCTCATGGTAAAGGATTTGGGGAAGAGAACTTGTTCTGTGTTCTTCTCTGTCAGACAGACCTGTGACTTGTTTATGGAGTAACTCTTTAATGTTGATATTGCAAGAGGAGGAACACTTGGTATCAGCCATGTGAGTCAACTGAAGTCTGTAGATCTTTCCCATAACTGTCTGTCCTGGAGCACACAGGGTGTCTCTTGTCCAGCAGGCAGAAATTGTTTAATGGCCTTGAGGTTATTTGCATCGTGTCTACTTTTTACCTGTGGTTGGCTGCAAGAACTGTGGCTGAAGTAGTATTTCAGTGGAGCATAGTCATTGTGTCAAACCAGGCAGAAGCTCTTCTGCTGGTTGGAGCAATTGATCTTTGAGAGACTTTGTCAGGACCTGTAGGGAAGTTGTGGCAGCGATTTGAGCCCTGGTGCTATTTGACCATACAGTCCAAGCACCAGACTTGTCTGACAAGTACTTTCTGTTTCTAATTGTGCCTTTAACATACATTTAGGATTTAACAGCTCACATACACAAATCTTTAGTACTCACTCCAAGAGTTTAAAAAGGGCTGTTAGGCATCAAAGATGCTACTCTAAGGATAGACTCTTAATCTTTGAATGAGTCACACAAACACTGTGCTAACATGCTATACAGTGAAGGAAAAACACTATTAAATCCCATTTGTTATAAGCAGTTGTGCCATGGAGACTGTGAAAAAGGTTTTTGCAACAGTTCTGTCTTCAGTGAAACTCTCTGAACGCCCTCCACCCCAGAACTAATCAACAAACTTCTTATAAGCCAGTGTATACAAAATGTAATTGGAACATGCCCGAGCAAGAAATGCAAAGCTAGTTGATGAGTATTCATAACCACTGTTGTGGTTGTGAATAAAGAAATGTCCTCATTGTAAACCATCCCAGTTTTGAATTCTCACATGTAGGCCTTCCAGAAGATAATACACTTCACCTAGTGCACCAGGTGCTCTTTTAAAAACTATGTTGATGAAGTCAGGGGATAATTAAGCATCAGATACTAAACAGCAGTTATGAGCTTTCACAGGCAATAGAAATTGCACAGACACCTTGCAGTGAGTGCAAGAATATGTTTTCCTAAACAGATCCATTCCTGACCTCTTGGTTCTGATCATGTTGACCAGCTGAGAAAGTACTTGTAGTAAACAGGCCTGACACCCAAAATCTGGGAAACCAGCTATCATGGATTTGGTAGAGAGACAAAGTGGCAAACTGCAAGTTCCCTAACAAGTTGATCCCACTTGATGCCTGTTTCAGAGGTGTCATTCTCTTTCGGTCCATCTCGTGAGCAGCTTGGTCAGTTTCGTGCTTTCTGCCGTGCTCTGTGGAGTGCAGCTGAAACTGTTTGGATCTTCTTGATGTGTGTTTCAGGCTTGAAGAAGGATCTAGATGCATAAAAGCTAGTCTTACTGTTCGCTGACAGTATTATTTGAACTATCAAAATGCTGCATTCCAACAAATCTACAGTAGCACCATTAAAGTTTGTCTTCAAAGTGCTCTCGTAAAATACTGAGCTTTTAAAAATCTGCCCACTAAGGAAACTGAGCTGTTAGACAATGTTTTCCTTTTTGGAGCCTACGTGCTCTGACTGCTTGCTTTTTGTTTGTATTTCCAAACATGGCTAATATCACTTCTAGTAGTAATCCATTATTTTCCCATTTTTACATGAGTGGTTGTCTCTAAGTTACTGACCTAATTGCTGTCAAGATGGTAGTTTAACAGCAGTTAGTTTTTTTCCTCATGTAAGTGAATAGTCATGCTAGTTATTACAAAAATGTCTTTTAATGTGTATTACCATTTTATTTACAACTCTGCCAATATTTTAATAGTTGGATTAGGTTCTGTGTTTTTTCCTAAATATTTAAAGGAATGCTAATTTTCCTTAAACGTAAGGAAACACTGTAAGAAAACAGTTGCCTTAAGGCCAAGAATTGTACTGGTTGTCAAATAGGGTGCTATGGGCATAAACAGCTTTAGGAAATGGAAAATGTTTTCCCATTTGTGAAAGGGAGGTGACTTAGTTCTTAGGTAAGAGAAAAGTGCAGTAAAATGCATGGATGTTGGGTGATGCAGGAGAAGAGGAGGCAGGAAAGGGATAAAGGAATAAGTAAAGAAACTACTCTTTTGGTTTGCTGATCAGTTTATTAATAATTTGTATGTAAATAGGTGGTTGAATCCCATATTTATCATTGGCCATAAACGGAAGCTTGAAGAAGATGATATGTATAAAGTGCTGCCAGAAGATTCCTCAGAGAAGCTTGGAGAAGAATTGCAGTGGTAAGAAGGAAAATAATTGTTCCCTTTTATTGAGTTTCTGCTGGGGAAAGCAAGAGTTTTATTTCTGGACTAAAATTAGAGGAGGTGGTTGTAAAGTTTAACAAGGTCTGCTGTCAAAAATGCTGACGCACTAACGGCAATATTTAGAACTTGTTTACCATGGAGGCATTTTAATGTCTTTTCAAGTTATACGTAATGAAAATGCATTAGTCTTTCAGTTATGTCATTTGTAATTAATCTGACACTTTGCAGAATGCTTGGAAAAGAAGACTTTTCATCAACTGTTACTGCCGTAATCCGTAATAAATTAATGTGAGCCTTCTGTCCATGGGTAGAATAGCTGTGGAAACTTTTGAAATTTCTCTCTGTGAAAGTGGGGAAAAATGTTAGGGTTTTTTCTTTGTTGTTTTCGGTTTTGAGCACAAACTGAATTAAGTGACAGCTGTCTACCCTTTATGTATGTGTGTATATAAATGTATGTATGTTGAAAATATGCCCCTCTTTAGTGAAGTGGATAGAATGCCTTGGACATCTGAAACTTGTGTCTAGAAGATGTTTTTAGTTTGTTATAAATACTCTTTCATGGACTGTGTACCAAGTCATGTTGTTATGAACCCAGGAAGATCTCTTTCTTTTTTAATAGTGAAATATCTTCCAAGAATAACAGTTTGTCGATTGTCTTGAACCTTGCAATAGCTAACATTTTTGCCCTCAAATAATCTTTTGTTAAATATAATTGGAGGAAGTGGTGTCTCCTGGTGAAAGGTGGCCTCTGTATTAGAGAATTGTGGCCTTGCTATTTCTTGCCATTACACTGAAGGTAGAGCAAATCAAATTTCCTGATAGTTTGGTTGGGGTGAGAGACTCTTCCAACAAGTAAAAAGAATCTGGGAATGAATGATAATGACAGGTCATGCATCATCCTGCTCTGGATGAGTTAACTGAAGAAAAAGGGTAGGTGATAACCTCACAGGAGTGCAGCTTTTAACATCTCTGTAGCTGGAGAGCTTTGCCAAGTTCCACAGCTGTGTCTTGAAGTTCAAGGAGTTAGCTGTGGAGGAAGATGGCCTCTTTCCAATGATTCTTACAGTAAAGGCACACACTTTCCATGAGTCAGGAAATGGTAGAAAATACAGCATGCCAAAAAAAAAAAAAAAGAAGTGGTTTTTAATTCTGTAGTGTACCTGGCCAAGAAGCACACAATATAATTCATAAATAGCCACCTAAGGAAGTAGCCTTTTCTCTTGGGCCAGCAAACACAAGAGAATCTACACAGTTTCAATTTTGACTCTGAAGTATTTAGACAATAACTCTGCAACCCTTCAAGGGGGTTAAAAAAAGAAAGTTTTATTATCCATACTGTATGCCTCAAACTTGTGTGCTGTGTTGCAAAATAATTTGGCTTTCATGCCTTAGACTCATTTCAGCTCTCAAACTAACAAGGTCAGAAAGTCTGGCAAGAAATATTTAGCCTCCAGAAGAAAGGGTGAGTATCCTGTCTGATAACAGCATGCTTTAAGAAGTCTGCTTAAGTTCTGATACTTTCTTCTTAAAATCGTGCTTGTTGTTACTGTCTTTGATTTTAATGTGAACAGATTGCTCTCTCCTTGTGGGCAGACACGTGGTAATGCAAAGGTCTTCTCCACTCTGCTGCTGTAATCCTTGCCTTCAGAGAGACATATGGAGTGTTAGGTGGCAGAACTGCTGCAGACAGTTGCGTTTGTGCCATATCTGCTTGTCCTCATCAAAGCACGTGGTAGAAAGATCCAGGCATGAGAAGAGGTTGTTCATCACAGCCTCCCTTGGGAAGTGCAGTGCTTATATGACAGTAAAGACAGTCCATGCTTCCTCAGTTTAGTCCGTAGTTAGGAGATCATATGGTATTAGGCTCTTAACTAAGTTAAGTGTCTGTCTGAACTGAGAGAAGAAGAAAAAAAGGGTTCCTCATCAGCAAGTATGACAAAGGCAGTAGTAGCCAACAGTGATGAATTGTTTGTGGTTGTGCAAGGACAAATAGGCCTATAATAGTGTACTATGTGTTTATGTGAATGAGAAAACATGACTATCTATTAATTTTGTGTTGTATAAAAGTGAGCATGGCAATCTGTCTGTATATCTGAAAGTATTTTATTCCAGGTAATTGTCTTGTGGTTTTACTTCTGTTCTCCATCACATTTGTGTTCTGTTTGTCAGGTACTGGGATAAAGAGGTGCAAAAAGCAAAAAAGAGAGGAAAAATGCCACATTTGACAAAAGCCATTATTCTTTGTTACTGGAAATCCTATTTAGTTTTTGGAATTTTCACAATGATTGAGGTAAGTGGAGTAAAATGTCATACAACAAAATTCTTAGCTAAGAGCAATGTGAAACTTGGCCTCTTAGATTGCATGACACATCCTGGTGACTTCATGCTGTGCTGTTCATAGAAGCTGTAATGTTCACGTACTCTCTCAGAAAAGTAAAACTCTCTTACTCTCAGAAAAGTGAAAAAGAGCCATAGCTCTATAGAGAATGAAAAATTTGAGTCATAACTGCAGGATTATGGATGTGGGACAAAGAGCTGATTTCAGTGCAATATTTTTGAGACATTACAAGCCCTTGACTTGCATTGTAAGGCTTAGCAGTATTTTATGTATCTGAGTGGGGTGCCCAATAGAAAAGGGTTTTTCTTGCTATATGTAGATGGCTGTAAAGGACACACTGTCATCAGTGTAGTACGTACTCCTTTTTATAACATCAAAGTTTTTATTGGCAATTGAGAGTTCTTTTTAAAGAATCAGCTAAATTTTAATGTGGAACATAGTTCTTTTGAATTATGTGTTGATAAAAATTTTCATTTTTGAGTTCAATAAAGATAATACAGGATGTGACTTGCAGCAGTACTTGGCTCTTGTTTGCCTGGTTACAAACTTGGGTAGCATGGTGTGATATCAAATTATTAATACCTTTTTTCCCTTCTTTTTCTTTCAGGAAACCCTCAAAACAATTCAGCCAATATTTTTGGGAAAAATTATTAATTATTTTGAAAACTATGATCCCTCAGATGAGGGTTTGAATTTTGCATATTGCTACGCAGCTGCTCTGTCTGTGTGCACGCTTATTCTAGCTATAATGCACCACTTATACTTCTATCATGTACAGCGGGCTGGCATGAAGCTGAGGGTAGCTATGTGTCATATGATTTATCGGAAGGTAAGCAAACGTGTTTACAGGTATATTTGGCATTCGACAGCTTTTTCATTAGGGGAGTTTAAAAATACAGTTATTTGTTCTGTTCATGCTTGCAGTTCCGTTGAAGCTACTCATTTGTAAAAATGTAACACATGCCAATATGTATCAGACCTTAAATGTGCATATGTGCTCTTGCTCTCTCTTTGGTCATATGGTGTTTGAATGACAGCTTCAGTCCTCCTAGAGAAGGTGAATTAAATAGCCCTAAAGACTCGGCAGGGGTGCTGATTTTTGCCCGCTGGTGCTGTTGGAAAGGGGCCCTGCCATTGCTGGTTTGTGTGCTGGAGCTGTCAGAAGCAGTTAGAATACAGCAGAAGAGGGGCAGAGCTCTCCCAGGGAACGCTGGCAGTTACTCAGCCCTGCAGGTTCATCCCTGGGGAGGATGTTATACTTGGCTGTCACCACCTGCTTCAGTTCTCTCAGGTGTCTGGGAACAGCTTCACTGTACAATTTCCCCCACGGCACTTTTGTGGTTAATGGTGGGATTTGTTTATATTGGTTTTTCAGCAGTTCTGTAGAACTGGTGATTTGCCTCCTTTGCGGGTCAGAGAGGCTGCGCTCCTCTCGAGCCATCCATCAGGTTAGTTTGGGGACAAGCAGCAGTGCTGCAGTACTGCTGCTGCCCCCTCCGGGCTGAACGAGATGATTACTAATTACGCCGCTAGTATCCCTCCTGCTTTGGTATGAGGAAAGAGGAGCGTGGGCGCCGGAGACGCGGTTCAGAACCATGCTGAATTCTAAAGATAGGTTAGAGCCATGTTTTAGTATCAGTTACCGGTTTTACTGTGGGAGCCCTGGAGTCCTTCATTAAAGCCAATGAAGTGCAGGGATGTACATTTAGTAAGCTGTGATTTTTTTTGCTCTCTGTGTGTCCTGATCAAGAAATAGCTGTCCTTGACTACAGATGGAGCTGAGGCCACTCTGAGATGGACAAGAGAAGTTACAGGTATTACTTCCAGAAAGGAGTTGAGTGACATCCAGGATGATATGTGGGCCTTTGTGTGCTCTGAGGAGCAAGCAACCCAAGCGTATATATATGCTTTCTCTTCTGAAGCTGTTGGCAGTATCCAAACCATTGAGCTGATTTCCACTTCCAAGTGGGAAGTCCCTGCTGGGGGTGTTAGAAGGGAAAATGCTCTATTTTTTTCTTTTTTTTTTAGCTTTAGTACTGCTAGAATAGTGACCTGCCAGTTCTAACTTCAGCAAAGGTGTTTAATTGAAGGATCAGGACTGCAAAGTTTCTTTAGAATGTGAAGAAATTCATGCTAATTTAGCCATTCAACGTAGCTGCCATACAGTTAAGGCAAACCCTTGTACTACTGGTATGGCCATGCAAAGGTTTTGGACAAAGCAGTAAAGTGAGGAGAGTAAAATTGTCCCCATTGTAAGTGGTGATTTCTTTTCATGCATATATTTATTCTCCTCCCTCTTCTGATACTTTGGAAATTATCCTCTGGGAGCTCATCTCTAACATGGCACACTGCTTTCTTGTACATAAACATCTCTCTCTAAGGTATTAATTTGCTAAACTGATTATCATAACAGAGTTTGAAGTTCATGAAATATGTATATAGCAATGTTGGTTTTTGCTGTGTTGATATTAGCTTAGAAGCTTGGAAAAGAAATGTTCATAATATGCACCCTTATTTCTAGAGATGTGATTAAATAGAAAATTAATCTCCCCTCATCTCATAAGTGTTTACTCCTGAGGCTGGAGGCTGAGGTCACATCAGAACATTGATAAACCTTTCTAATCATTTGTCCTCGTTATCTGAGGCTTATAGATAGGTCATACTTCCTCTTTATCCTCATATAGACCTTTGAAAGAATCTGGATGCTGATTTACTAATACTTTTGCAGTGTGTGTTAATTGCTGTAGTAAATACAAACTTGGATTTGCAAGGGTGAATGGTTGGGTGAGAGAGCATCCTTAATGGAGAACTTAAGTTTTAAACTCTTTTCATTTCCTGGAAAGTTAACATGTCATTTGTAAAACCCCTGTATGTGAACACTAAGGTGTTTGTGATCAGTAAGAAGTATTAGTGATGCACACAGGAAGCTTGTAACAAAAATGAAAAACGAGTCTGTTTTGTGGCTCAGTCTCATGTGTTAAAACCAAAGGTTACTTACGGTCTTAAGGTTCAGAGTAAACACTAAAGCAGTTTAAAGTGTGGAGTAGTTGGTTGAGACTGAAAGCTGCCAAAAAAGTGTCAGCAGTTATTTGACCATGTAGTTTTATTATTCTTTTCTGTGGTCAGTTTTCCCTTTTTAATGTGCTTTTGAATTAACTTTTTGGGGCAGAGAAAGGTTAAAACACTAACATGGGAGTATGGGAGGCAAAGAAATGGTTAAAAAAAATGAAATTGGGCCACTGCAATTACATCTTCAGAGTAAAAAAAAAAAAAGAATAACCTAAGGCATCAAGTGGACAAGCCACTCTTATTAGTCCATATAACTAAAACCTTTTTTTCTTGAGAGAGGGTGCTTGCTGGGAAATACGTCTGTACAGAAAATTTATAGACAGAAAGTCAAGGAGATCTTTGTGCTGAAAACAGGCAGATAATTGGCAAATGTAAAATAAAATCAAATTCAAGCTGCGGTTGCTTTTTAAAAAGGTGTGTGGCTCTAGATTAGTACTTCTTACCTTCAGAGTGAATTTATAAATGTTAAGGTCAAAATAGTACTAAAGTCACAGTATACTGACTGTGGCTGAGATAGAGTTAATTTTCTTTATAGCAGCTCCTATGATATGTGGTACTTGTTCCAGATGTAGTAGAAAGGGAAAGTACCAAAACAGAACTTTGGGGGAGAAATTGGTTATATCAGTAAAACTGCTGCTTTGTGTCTGATGTTTCCATTTCCTTCTGCATCCTTTGCAGTCTAGACAGGTCCATTGAGTGGACACTTCAGAAAGTGTAAGGCTTATTTCACTTAAAAAAAAATAAAAAACATTAAAACCCAGTGCTACTTCAGAAGTGGTTTTGAAGCAGGAAAGAAAGAAAAGACTAAAATGGCATTACCACTGACAGTGGTAAAGGCTGTCTTTTCCCGGAGAAGACAAATCAGTCACAGATGAGCTACCTCCTTTTGGCTCAGATGCTTTCTGTCTTGGTCAGAATGAACTAGGGTAATACATTTTGAAACTGTTTTTGCTGTCTGTGTCTGAAATAGCTAGGAAGAGGTCAGAAAGGTGATTCAGGTGATGGGTCCCAGATGTACCCAGGCAGTGGACCACTAGCAAGACACTGGTGCAGTGTTCTTCTGAGTACCTGAAGTGGACTTGAAATGGCAGATACATCTATGTTGTAAAGCAGTATGTAGCAATAGATGCTGTAAACATGCTCTGGTGGGCAACTTCTTCTAACCTACACATCATTCGAACTCCTATTATTATGGCCTACCTGTATCTTAACAGCTTTTCTAGGAGCTTGTCAACCTTGATCTGTGGTGTGGAGTAAACATGATAGAAAAGTGGATGCGCTGTGACAGTGTTACCAGCAGCAACTTCTCTGTTCAGATGTATGGGAAACAAGCTTAAGACAGGGAATGAAGCAATCATTTTCTCAAATAATTTAATCTTGTCTTTCATATACGCAGTATCCTAGATTTATTATTGGAACCTCAGAGGAATTTCTTAGTAGGGCTCTAAATGTTTCTGCCTCTTGGTTTCAGTGTTAGGGTTGGGATTCTCTCTGTGATTAATAGCTTTGTAAAACAGCAGTGAGGTGCAAGAAATGTATGGCCCTTTGAAATTATATTTTGAATAGTACTTTGATGTTCTTGCACCTGATTTAAAATATTGGAACAGAATTTTTGAAACAGTTGTTGCTTTTGAGGTTAGATTATTGATCAGAAAGCAATCCTAATGCTAACTTTTTGGAGAGGGAGAAGTAGATGTACACTGCCTAAAAATGTGAAGTGTTTTGGTGGAGTGAACTATTCTGTTGTGGGAAAATATATAACATGTTTTTATATTTTTTTATATATATATTTTTTTTACTTGTGCTGCAAAACTGTGTTCTCTTTCCAGCAGGAGAAGAAGGAAGCAGGGTCTGTAATCTATAACTTTGAGCTATTTAAATTTGGATCTTTGCGGTCCTGTTCAGACTGCATATTTCCAGATGCTATTTTTTAGGGGCTATTGGATGATCACATACTGTTTTCTGCTGATCAACTTATTTATTAATCTATAGAAATATTTGTATTTACTCTTTTTGCTTTTCATAGCATGTGCTAAACTTCATTTAATGTTCTTCAAAAATCTTACGATTTTATAGGAGTTATTAAGAAGAGAAATTTTTAAAGGGTTATTAACTCATTTACAAAGACAGAAAGCACAGTTTGCAGTGTTACCAAGAACTGATAGTGTAAAACAAATAACTTGAGTTTTTTGTCAGTCAGGAATCTCATTCAAAACAAAATTCTTTCAATTGGCCAAACATTGTCCTGATTTTAATTTGGTCTTCAGGTGGAGTATTCTGCTCCTGTTTTGAACAGATGCTTGTAGTGTAGGGGAGAGCAATGCAAATGAAAAGTTACAGGCTCTTTTGTATAACTTGCTATGTTGGTATTTTCCCATTTTTAATCTCTTCAGATATGAAAATAGTTACACAACTTCTGTTTTCCACAGTCCTTCCCTAAACTTTATTTTATGCTTTCTTCTTCAGAATATTTAACCTAACCCACGTTATCTAAGGTTCTTGAACTGTGCCCAGGTATTCACAGGCAAAAGCTGAGATACACCTTCAGCTTTTGCCCTGGTGTTGTATTTGTGTATCAAGCCTTCTGTGTATAGGTGTACTGTGCTCTATGAGCTGTGACAATTTTGACTGTTCTTTTTTAGGCACTTCGTCTCAGTAATGTAGCTATGGCAAAAACTACCACTGGTCAAATAGTAAATCTTCTGTCAAATGATGTGAACAAGTTTGATCAGGTAAGAATATTACAGGTCTTTCCAAGGGGCTGTTGAAACTGTGGTGTTTGAGTTAAGAAGTTTTTGTTTACAACTGGTGATTGTTTCCTATGAACATTTCTTCTAGCTATTTCTTAAACATCATACAAAGAGAAATACTCTCTTAAAAGATGAGCGGAAAACATACTTTTTTTTTCCCCTCCTTAAGTATTTTCTGAAGCTCAGAGAAGTATTGGTTGATGAAGATAAAACCAAATCAGCGTGGTAATTTTCTACTTTTCTGGAAGTTAGGCAGCTCCATGTACATTAAGGTCTCTGAATCTGGTGCAGAATTCTCACTGGATGCCTCAGTACCTGTTGCAGGCAAAGGTGTTTCTTTAACTTTGTGTTATTAAGGTTTATTTTTTTTTAGGTAAGACCAAAAGCTAATTTTTCTTTCTTAACTGTTTGCCTAGGTAACGATTTTCTTGCACTTCTTGTGGGCTGGACCAATTCAAGCTGTAGCAGTAACAGTACTTCTGTGGATGGAGATAGGCCCATCATGTCTTGCAGGAATGGCAGTTCTAATTATTCTTCTTCCTGTCCAGACCTGCATTGGGAGGCTTTTTTCTTCCCTAAGGTAAGGTTGCATGTGTTGGGTTGCAGGTATTTTTTGTCCTGGATTTTAAAATGGACATACTTGATGGAGGCAGAGTACTGCTGCTGTCTGGTGAGGGTTTTTTGCGTTCTTTCATCTTTGCCCGTGTTTTTTGTAGTTGATAATGTGAGAATTCTGAATTCCTGTTTAGGGACTTGAAGTAGACATTTTTCCAGACACGCAGAAAATATCTGCTACTCATTAGCTGTCCGTTACACTAGAAGAGTTGGGCTACTTCGGTAGCTTACTTGCTGTAGATGTAGGCATAGAATTTTATTTCTTGAGCTTTGACTTCCTGCATTGATACTTAAGGAGTGGTTACTACAAAGGCAGTACTGGCAGTCCTACTGTAGTTTTGATTTAAAGGGGCTGTACAGGAGTTGCAGCAGAAAGCTTTGAAAGTTTCATGTTCAAAGGTCTTGTTCTCTCACCCCTCCAAGACAAAGATGCGGAGAGGAAAAACGGGAAGGAACTGAGAGAGAAAGGAAGAAAAGAATTGTGATGATGGTTTTGATGTCAGCTCTGAGGTTTCTAACTGTAAGGTTCTAGGCTGTGGAGATACAAAATGAGTTTGCAGTAGCTATCCATTATCTGACAAATTTGTTTTTTCTGACTTCCTCCTAAAAGAAAGACTTGCCTCAAGTGAGGATATTGAATTATCTTCAATGTTCTGTCTTTCAGACTTTCCTGTGTATTTAATCATGCTCTACTTACATCATCAGCTTGTAAATAGCCTTTACATCTAGATGGGAATATGCTTATGTTTGCTATTTACACACATGCGTAGTAGCGTTATTCATCCTTGTTGTGTTTGTATTCAGGGTGAATTGGTTCCTTCTAGCTCTTTCAATCACAGTATCACAGTATCACAGTATGCTAGAGATCGGAAGGGACCTCGAAAGATCATCTAGTCCAATCCCCCTGCCGGAGCAGGAACACCTAGATAATGTTACACAGGAATGTGTCCAGGCGGGTTTTGAATGTCTCCAGGGAAGGAGACTCCACAACCTCCCTGGGCAGCCTGTTCCAGTGTTCCGTCACCCTCACTGAGAAGAAGTTTCTTCTCAAGTTTAAGTGGAACCTCTTGTGTTCCAGTTTGTACCCATTACCCCTTGTCCTGTCATTGTTTGCCACTGAGTAGAGCCTGGCTCCATCCTCGTGACACTCCCCCTTTATATATTTATATACACTAATAAGGTCACCCCTCAGTCTCCTCTTCTCCAAACTATAGAGACCCAGCTCCCTCAGTCTTTCCTCATAAGGGAGATGCTCCACTCCCTTAATCATCTTTGTTGCCCTGCGCTCGACTCTCTCCAGCAGGTCCCTGTCCTTCTTGAACTGAGGGGCCCAGAACTGGACACAATATTCCAGATGGGGTCTCACCAGGGCAGAGAGGGGAAGGAGGACCTCTCTCGACCTACTAACCACCCCCCTTCTAATACACCCCAGGATGCCATTGGCCTTCTTAGCCACAAGGGCACAGTGTTGGCTCATGGTCATCCTGTCGTCCACTAGGACCCCCAGGTCCCTCTCCCCTACACTGCTCTCTAACAGGTCGTTTCCCAACCTATACTGGAACCTGGGGTTGTTCCTGCCCAGATGCAGGACTCTACACTTTCCCTTGTTATATTTCATCCAGTTATTCCCTGCCCAACTCTCCAGCCTGTCCAGGTCTCGCTGGATGGCAGCACAGTCCTCTGGCGTGTCAGCCACTCCTCCCAGCTTAGTGTCATCAGCAAACTTGCTGATAGTACACTCAATTCCCTCATCTAAATCATTGATGAATATATTAAATAATACTGGTCCCAGTACTGACCCTTGAGGCACTCCACTAGTTACAGGCCTCCAACTAGACTCAGCCCCATAGACTACAACTCTCTGGCTTCTCTCCTTCAGCCAGTTCGAAGTCCACCTCACTACCTGATCATCCAGTCCACACTTCCTCAATTTAGCTGTGAGGATGCTGTGGGAGACTGTGTCAAATGCTTTGCTGAAGTCAAGGTAGACCACATCTACCGCTCTGCCATCATCCATCCACCGCGTTATTTCCTCATAAAAGTCTAAGAGGTTGGTCAAACATGATTTCCCCTTGGTGAAGCCATGTTGACTGCCCCTCATAACCCTCTTATCCTTGATATGCCTTAAGATGGCACCAAGGACAAGGTGTTCCATCACTTTCCCAGGGATGGAGGTGAGGCTGACCGGTCTATAGTTACCCGGGTCCTCCTTCTTGCCCTTTTTGAAGACTGGAGTGACATTTGCCTTCCTCCAGTCCTCAGGCACCTCTCCTGTTTCCCAAGACTTGGTAAAGATGATGGAGAGTGGTCTAGCAATGACTTCTGCCAGTTCTCTCAGCACCCGCGGGTGCATCCCATCTGGACCCATGGATTTATGGATGTCCAGATTGCTCAACTGATCTCTAACCCATTCCTCATCGACTAAGGCAAACCGCTTCGTTGACCTGACTTCATCTAAGGTCTCAGGGGTACAGGGCTCTTCAGGACTGCCTGCAGCAGAGTAGACAGAGACAAAGAAGGCATTCAGTAACTCTGCCATCTGTGTATCTTCTGTCACCAGGGCACCCATCCCGTTCATCAGTGGGCCTACATTGCCTCTGGTGTTAGTTTTGTCTGCCATGTATTTGAAAAAGCTCTTTTTGCTGTCCTTGCAATCGGTGAAACTTTTTTTAATGAGTTACGTGTTGTTTTCATGTTGTATTTTGAGACTGGTTTTCCAGAAGTATTGCGACTGGCATTGCTGTTGCATGGCTAGGTATGAAGAGAAAGCTGAGAATTATGAAAGGAGACTAACTTGTAGATTTCCTTCTATTTGTAATCATTGTGATAGTCTTTAGTTATGGGCTGTTTCTCAAATAATGAGCCATTCAGTGTTCTCTGTCAAATTCTTCGTGCTTTTTTATGGCAAAACCTGTTTGTGGAACACTTCCAATATATTCTTACTTGTGCATTTTCACTGCATGTGTAATATGCATGCATAAGTATCGAGCTACTTCACTGTTAGGATTTTTTGAGTTTTAAGTTTTTGAGGTTTTGGGCTTTCAGTCAATAGTTAAAATACTTAGTACTTAACTAGTGCCTTGTCCATGATGGTAAGAATTATTATCCCCATTTTACAGATGGGAAACTGAGGCACAAAGAGATTAAGGGACTTGTCCAGGGTCAGACAACAAGGTGACAAAAATCTCTTCTCGAAGGTATGTATTTTTAAAGTTAAGCAGTGGCAGTGTAATGTTATTTGGGTTTTTCCCCCATTCATTAACAGCCACTTGTTTGGATGCAGTGCAAGGGAAAGAATCTTAACTAGAAAAACTTCTGCTTGTCTGCGGGTGCATAAAAATGTGCAGTGAACAGAAAGAGTTAATGGAAAAGCTGAAGTGGATTCCAGCTCTGTAATGATAAGTGTGTTCACATGGCAATTGCTGGGAATCTGCATGGATTTAAGGAAATTGGCCTATAAGGAAGTAATTTAAGGATTAAAGCTTTTGCTAAAATCCAGACACACTCAGTGTGGCAGTTAATTTGTGCTATTATTCAGCATTATACTTGGGACCCAGTCCTGTAAACACATACGTGCACACCAGCGTATGATGCAGGCATGAGCTTCAGTGCTGTAGGAATTTGCAGAAACGGACTCAGTATCCTATAGAATGGTATGCGGTATATTATGAAGTGTTGCTTTTACCTGCAGAGGTACTAGGAATTTTACAAAATACATGACCTAATACATTATTTGAGAAATAGTTCAATTATTGGACTGAAGACCACTGTATATATATTTACTCACAAGAACTCAATCCTTTCACTGCTTAGCCATGCAACTGTTATATTCTCATTTAAAGCCATTTTAATTTTTTGTAAAGTGAAATCTGTCACTTGTGACAGACTTGATTAAAACTGACCAAATATGCCTCATAAAAGCAAAAATATTCTGCAACTTGCTTAATTTAGAATGGTTATGAGTGTCATAAATGGAACTTCTCAGACACTTGCAGAAGTGTGAACAACATATGTTAAGTTTTGCCTTTTGCTGTGACGGTGAGTGTATGGGGAGGAAAGAATGAGCTCTCTCAGTCTTTGAGCAGTTTCTTATTGCTGTCCCTTTTTGAAAAAGGGAAAGAGGATTTAGCAAAGATAATCTTGTTCATGTCAGTACAGTTGGTGCAGGCAAAGCTGTCTTCCTCAGTCTTAATAAGAAATCTTGATTGTATTAGGGCCAAGTTTCTACATTGCTTTTGTTAGGTTTCTTGTATAAATATTTCTTCTTGCATAAATACCCTGCTTCAGTCATCCCAACGTTTATGAATGCTGGTGTTGAGAAGTTGTTTTTCGTAAATGTTGAGCAGGTGCCTGAAATTCTTTCTACTTAAGTGTTTTAAATATTGCTGTTTCTTCCAGAGCGTCAGAGAAATCTGACAAGCAGGCAGGTTAAGCTGACAAAACCCAGCTCACCCCTTCTGAAGAGCTTTTTAAAAGTTTATTAATTTATTTTTATTTTAAGTATGATTTCTGAATCTTAACTTTCGTTGCTATATACAAAAATAAGAAATCCAGCAGGGGAAGGTGTGTTTTATCAAAATAAGGCCTACCTTAGCTCGCTATGTGTGAAGTAAATTTATCTACCTGAGTGAATTCAGAATTGTAATAGGCTTTATTAGCATGGTTTGTACAGTCATTATGTGGTGTCTAACTTCCAATGCTTTTTCCTAATTAAAACTGTGACTTCATTATTTAATTGTATATTTTCTTCCCATTTGCTCATCAGTGCAAACATAATGTGGAACTAAAATAGATTATTTACTTTAGTGATAATTGCAATTAATGCTTAAATAATATTAATTTGTTAAAGCCATATCTAGATTAGCTCTCCTAAATTATAGCTCATGTACTAAGTAATCTTTGCTTTTGAGTTAATCTGAAAAAGACACACACACACAAGCCAAGTTTCTTTAACAACATCAAAAGAGTCTTATGAGAAGGATTGTTGTTCTGGCTTTTCAAAACAGTTTTTAAAAGTAATTCTCTGATTTTTGCTTAGTCCTAAATTCTATAATTTTATTTTTTTTTCTTTTGAGTTGGTTTTTTTTTTTTTTTTGTACACAAATACGTAGTTCAGAGAATACCGTGTATTTGTGCAAGCTGACATATAACTGAGCATTAAATCAACTTAGTTCCCTGAGTACAGGGGATACCAGGAATGCAGATAAACCAAGTCTCTCTGCTGTGTGTCAGCTTTAAGATACTTTTTCAGGAAGACCCTTCAGTGCAATTAAAATTGTGTGAATCCTCTCTACAAGTCAAAGCAGAAACTTCATTAATATGAGTATGTTATGCCATTGTAAATACTCTTTTTTTTGAGAATCTGAGAATTTTTACTTTGTGCTATTTACAGGAGCAAGACAGCTGCCTTAACAGATGTCAGAATTAGGACCATGAATGAAGTCATAAGTGGCATGAAGATAATAAAGATGTATGCTTGGGAAAAATCATTTGCAGAACTTGTGAATGGTTTAAGAAGGTAATCTGGAAAGATACAGCTTGGTATATGTTCAATATCTGTTTCCATTTTTTTACATGTCAATAATTGTTTTATTTTGTACTTTAAAGTGCAGTTTACTTGAACTTATTTGGCTTTTTTTTTTTTTATTTTAGAACTTTCTATAGTTTTAGAGTGAAGTAATGAAAATATAAATCTGATGGGACAGAAAAAGAAAAAAAACCTCTGATATTTATAAATTGTGGTTTTATGCTTCCTTTTATGGCTGTGTTTAAAACCAGCAACTGATAAACTGTAGTAGTTGTAATTAAACAATTTCATCCCCAGTTGTGTAAACTAGTAGCCAAGAGGCAAGACATTTCCCTCCTCAGAAATATATAAAATCTGACTTTCTGTCCTAAATGATAGCATCTGCAGGTAGTACTCTGTCTGCTTCTCTTTCTGTGTTTTGAAGTATTGCTCAAGCCATCTGGGAAGGTGGAGGGGAGAAAGACAGCAGCTCAGAAATTTCCTAGTTGTTCAACTGCAAGGCCAGCTGAGTTGGTATCCTGAGACATTTCATTTCTGAGGTCCATCAGTATCTGGTGAAAACTAAGTCATTAAATTACATTTTCAATCAGTATTTGTGCTTTTACTTAACAGTATGAGAGCATTCAATGCTAAAGAATAAATGATGAGAAATATTCACCTGAACTACTTAATTTTCATGTTATGTCTGGCATGAGTAGAAGTTTGTTATCCTGCTGTAGATTCTGATTATTTTTTATTTGTTATGCTTTTGTAAAGGATTTTTTTTTTTCCTTTGTATCTATGCACAGGCTTGCAAACTTGCTAATGTTTCCTGAGACATTTCTTCCCATGCACATAATCATTTCCTCCTTCAGATATTAGGATCATGTGCTAATTGAATGTTCTTGATTGATTGAAAGCTTTGCTGTCTTGCGTGAAGCCAGAGAGGATATTTCTTGATTGAAAGCTTCCTCAGTGGACATATTCACATCACTAAACTTTAGATTTCCAAATTCAGTGCATCATTAGGGTTAGAGGCTTCCTTTTTAATGACAGAGAGAAAGAAGCTCTTCCAAAACACATCCTGAGCCCTCTTTCTTTTCTTTAACTTTGCTGTAGAAAACTGTAGTTAAGTCTTCCATTCAGCCAGGTGATTTATTGCCCAGTATTTTGCAGTGGCCCTTGACAGTTGCTCAGGTGACATCTGAGCCTCGTCCATTGCTCTTTTTTTCCTGTGGCTGTCCATACTGGTTTCATGTTTGTGCCCTAAGACCGTGTAGTATATTATTTTCAGCCTGTGGGTAGCCTGTAATTTATCTGATTTTTATGGAGAGTAGCACAAAGAACTTGCTGATTATTTGCAGATAGTAGAGAGGATTATTAAGGATTATTAGAGGGTGGTAAAAGTGCTTCATCCAGGATTGTTGAAGTAATTGAATTAGACCCAGTTCAAATAGTTTACATACAAGTGTTCTTTCACTGTACTCTGGAGATCAGAGACTGTGAGCCCTTAAACTGAAAAAATGTCTTTGAAACTCTGAAAGTCTGTCAGTTCAGCCGATTTGGCAAGTATAGTAGGAAAGTTGCTTAACTAGTTTTCCAGTAGAGCATCTTGCATCCTTCTCTCTGTTAAGTGAAAATTTACTTCAGATTGTATCATCATAACTTGAGTTTCTAACCTTACTGTGGAAGGTAATAAAAAGTGATGAAGAATTTCCTTGAGAATTGCCAGAATATTTGGGAAGAGAAATTAGGAATTGTTTCAGAATTTTGTATTCGATATTATTTCAAGCAGATAAAGTCATAGAATCATAGAATAGTTAGGGTTGGAAAGGACCTTAAGATCATCTAGTTCCAGCCCCCTGCCATGGGCAGGGGTACCTCACACTAAACCATGTCACCCAAGGCTCTGTCCAGCCTGGCCTTGAACACTGCCAGGGATGGAGCATTCACAACTTCCTCCGGCAACTCATTCCAGTGCCTCACCACCCTCACAGTAAAGAACTTCCTCCTTATATCCGATCTAAACTTCCCCTGTTTAAGTTTGAGCCCATTACCCCTTGTCCTATCACTGCAGTTCCTAATGAAGAGTCCCTCCCCAGCATCCCTATAGGTCCCCTTCAGATACTGGAAGGCTGCTATGAGGTCTCCACGCAGCCTTCTCTTCTCCAGGCTGAACAGCCCCAACTTTCTCAGCCTGTCTTCATAAGGGAGGTGCTCCAGTCCCCTGATCATCCTCATGGCCCTCCTCTGGACTTGTTCCAACAGTTCCATGTCCTTTTTATGTTGAGGACACCAGAACTGCACACAATACTCCAAGTGAGGTCTCACAAGAGCAGAGTAGAGGGGCAGGATCACCTCCTTCGACCTGCTGGTCACGCTCCTTTTGACGCAGCCCTTGTTGTTTTTCATGTGCCTTAGCATGCCTTCCAGGAGAATCTGCTCCAAGATTTTGCCATGCACAGAGGTGAGACTGACTGGTCTGTAATTCCTGGGTCATTCATTTTCCCCTTCTAGAAAATGGGGGTTATATTTCCCTTTTTCCAGTCATTGGGAACTTCACCTGACTGCCGTGATTTTTCAAATACGATGGACAGTGGCTTAGCAACTTCATTTGTCACCTTCTGCAGATAAATGTCATCAGGTCCCATGGACCTGTGGACGTTCAGGTTCTTAAGATTATCTCAAACCAGATCCTCTCCTACAATGGGCCTAAGGTCTTCATCCTCACAATCTCTGCTTCTGCCTTCCAAGACTTGGCTGGTGTGGTCAGAGCATTTGCCAGTGAAGACTGAGGCAAAGAAGTCATTAAGAACCTCAGCCTTCTCCAAGTCCAGGGTAGTCAGGACACAAGGGGAAGGAGTAAGTTGTTATGGTGCTCTTGATAAAGGAAGACTTATCTTAATAAGAAGTTCAGACTGATGGCATCCACATTGTAGATAATGCAGTAACCTTTTGAGGGTTGGACTTGGTGAGTCAGTTTGAACTGGAAACTGAAATTTAACTGAAGTGGAAATAGAGAACATACACAGCAGCTTTTCAGTTGCTGGAGGGAGACTCGTGTCTGTGCAGTACTTCAGTCACATTTAGGGTAATGTTTGGCAGAACAATTGGCCTTGCAGATCAGTGTTTCTTGAATTATGAACCTGAATTCCTAGAGAAAGAAAAAAAAAAGCCATGAGCAGGGTCCAAATCACAAAGGATTTAGACTGAGATCAAAGGAAATATTGCAAATACTGTGATCCAGCTTGAGGAACAGCAGCTGAATAATAGCAGATTATTTTTATGTAGAGTAACACAGGTTAGTGTGTGAAAATGACGACCACACCTGGGTCGTAGGTAAACTCTTGGTTGTGTGGAAGTTGCCCTGTTTTTTCAACTCCTGCATATGTGTTGATCTTAAAAGTTTTTGACTGAGCTCTACTGGATTTTGATATTGAAACAATCCAGAGTTTGTGGGTGCTTGGCTTTTATACAGGGGATTTTCCTCTTTGCTCTTACATGCAACCCAGGAAGATTCAGAGCAAATTAGAATATGAATTAACTACTGGTTTGACCAAAGCAGAAGAAAATAAAAGAGTATTTTGGTTTTCTGTCTCCCAAAAATAACTATTTTCTATAGCTACTAAAATATTAAATGTAATAATTTTCCCCACTCGGTTTCTAAGCCTTTTAAATTGTCTTTGTTATTTACCATATAATATACTTAACAGTTCTTTACATGTGAGTTGGGGGGTCCAATGGGAAGAGAAAGGATATGAAAGTGAAATCCTGAGAATTGTTTTCCCTCATCCAGTTGTTAAGGGCAACTCTAACGAGAAAGTTTGATGTGACTTTGTATTTTGCATTTTTAGGAAGGAGATTGCCATGATTATGAAAAGCTCCTACCTTCGAGGACTGAACTTAGCCTCCTTCTTTGTGGCAAGCAAAATTACAGTGTTCATGACTTTCATGGCATATGTACTACTTGGCAATGTTATCTCTGCAAGTCGTGTATTTGTTGCAGTATCCCTGTATGGCGCAGTAAGACTGACAGTAACGCTGTTCTTCCCTGCGGCTGTTGAGAGAGTATCTGAGGCAGTGGTTAGCATACGACGAATCAAGGTACGGTTATCAATTTGGACAGTCTTAGTCTAACATTGTTTTAATGTCACAGACAGCAGCAGCCTTCAGTTTTGCAATTGGATCTCTAATGAAACAGCTTATTTTGAAAGCTGAATGTGTTGCTGTGTATGTGTGTACAAAAACGTGACGTGCACTCTGGGGCTGTCTGAAATGTAGCAGAGAAGTGCACTTGCAAAAAGGTGGTGTAGACATTTTTGAAGTTAAGAGGAACATGTGTACAGATAGTTAAAGATATCCCTGCTCATTGCAGGGGATTGGACTAGATGGCCTTCGAAGGTCCCTTCGAACCCAAACTATTCTCTGATTCTGTGATTCTGCTTCCTCTTAGATACTGAATGTAGGACTTTGGCAGCTATCTCATGTCTGCAAGCTGTTAGCTCAGTTAACTTCTTAACTAAGCTGAGTTAGTTAACTTGTTAAGTCTTGGCTGCTAAGATCAAGATCTTCCTTCTTTTCTCAAAATGCTGTCTGCTAGAGCCTGTTTAAGGTCTTTGTGATTCAAAGCATGATATAATTTTTCTGGTTTTGTCTTAAAATTGTGTTAACTCTTACCCTTGAAAGTCTTTAGAATTTACCCCTTTCCTTTCTAAATGTATTTGAGCTATTTATAAATGAGGCATCAGGAAAGGTGTGCCAGGACTGTGGCTGTGGGACAAAAGTGCATGCCATGAAACTTGAAGGAAAGGTTCTCTGGCTGGTCTATGATGCAGAAGTACAGTAGTGAGTGCAGTGAATCAGTTATGCAGACATAAGCAATTTAATTTTTTTTATTAATGCCTTGGACTTTAAAAGGAGAAGTTGGGAGATCTGCAGCCACCTTATCACTTGGAGAATGCTTAAGGGCAGTTAACAGCTTCTTAGCATGTCCTCATTTTCTTCTGAGTGAAACAACATAAGCCTTTACCATCAAAGCAGTGGAATGCTAAGGTGTTGCAGTGAAGTTTTCACTTCTTGCATGGAAAGATGGAATCAAGCAATTTTAAGATTTGTCAGTGTTTCAAGGAGAAGACAGGGTGGGTTCTTGTGGTCCATTTGCTTCAGGAATTCTGTTTTCTTGAGTGGGTGGTTTTTAAAGTCCTGTAATACTTCAGTGCTACTAAATTACAGTTTTGGGGGTTTTTGGAGGGGACAGTTAGTTAGTTAGAGGTACACTGTTGAAGGAGTTGTTCATTGTTTCGGAAATGCAGTTCCTTGATCAGTTTGTGGTTGGTTCCCCTGCTCCCTTAGTGTTTGTATGCTGCTTAGGTTCCCTTTCCTTCCTTAGTCTCACAATAGGCTTTTCTCTGTTCTTTTTTTCTTTCCTGTTTCTCTTTTATTGCAGAACTTTCTGATACTTGATGAGGTCTCACACTTCAAACCACAACTGCACGATAATAATGAGAATGTCATTCTTCATGTTCAGGATTTGACTTGCTATTGGGATAAGGTAAATTTACTTCTACTAAATGTGGAGCATATTGGCACTGCAGTCATCCAAAGTCTAAAACATTATGTCTGTGTATATGTGTAGTGTGCTAATGTTTTTTATTCCATCCTTTGTATATGAGAATCTATTTAGTGTGTTAAGCTGTGTAGAATAGTAGTGAAAACACTACCAAGTGGATTTCAAATTAGCTATTCCTGAATATTAATGAGTATCTGTGTGTTTCTTTGTGAAAGTACCTCTTAATAGGGCTGTATGGTAACTGAGGTACTTAAATTGGAATTAAGCACAGTAAGGTGGACCTAAGCATGCGGGTTTTTGTTTTTTTTTTCTGTAAAATGAATATTGATCGGTCCATTGGGCTTGAATCAGTTCAATATTATACTACTTAGAATGGAAAGCTTTAGATACTAGACTGCGTGTGTTTGTTACTCTGTGTATTTTAATTGAGACTGTTCAGCTACAAATTTTTCTCTGCTTAAAATGCACCAAACCCACCAAAATGGCTAGAAAAAGAGCTGATAAATCTGTTCTGTATCCTTTTCTGTACGAAAGGCAAAGGTTGACTGTTGTCTCTGTTTTTAAAACTGCAATTTGCTATGGTAAGCAGCAATTTGTGATGAATCATTCTGTGTCTTACGAGCTGCCCATATCCTTGCACAAGACAGGCTTGAGTCTCCATAACAAATACTGGAAGCTCTAAAAATGAATTTTGTATGTAAATGTAATGCAAATAAGACATGTCACATATTGCCCTTTATATACTTTCTTCCCATACGTGTGCTGTGTCCCAAGGAAGAAAAAGTGTGAAAACTTGAGAATCTACCTAATACTACTACTCAGCTACAAAAAAAAAGGAATTGCTGTCTTATTGAGCTTTACTTTCTCAAGAGTTGTCTCTGCGACATTAATCTTTGAGAGAATGAACGAATTCTTACAAAGTAGTTGGTATTAAACTTAATGGTGAATACATTCTAATGCAAAATGGAATGTATCTCTTAGTCTCTGTTTTCTTCTCAAACCAGCACAGGTAGCACTGTTAACAATTTATAGGAAATGGTTGCATAATATGCCCATAAAACACCTTATTTTTTTCCAAGACTTGTTTATATTGCATAAGGCAGGGCAGTGCAACTAGAATTACTGGCTGCCTTTAGATTTTAAAAGCACCAAACCAGCAAACCACCCACAAAACTTTTACTGTAACTTTAATTTTGTATTTAATGCTGTGTGCATGGGAGAACAGTTCTCCCAGAACTATTAAGAGCTGCTCAGAAAGTTTCTCCTACATACTCTTATAGTGATGCAAAGTAATTATGGAGTTTCTCACCGAAAAGATGATGAGCTCTGAGAGAGAGGAGTTAGGAAAGGAGTAATAAAAATACTCTATCCTTTGTCAAGTAAATGACTTAGCTTGCTATCCTGGCAAGGTTTCTCAAGACTCCTTGGATTTCTGTACAGCTGCATGATAATTTTTTTACTTTAACGATTGTGTGCTAAAAGAGAGACTAAAAATAACTCCCCAAAACACAGCCCATGAAACCAAAATCACTGGAAGCAAAAAAAGGGATTATTAGCTAGATTTTTAGGAAAACAAGCTAACATGGTGTATTACAGTTTATCAAAAGATAAAGAAAACCAATTAATTAATGGTCACACTCATGTTTTAGTAAGACAAGTGTTATCTTGAGTCCCACAGGCTAGTCTGGTACCAGCATGGAACTGGGGATTCTTCAGTAGGGCTTTTTTACTGCTGTGCCTTAAGTTTACAGAACAGCGTCTGCTCAGCTGAGCCTCTTCAGATTTAAACTTAAAGCATTTGAACAGAGGCCAAATTTATCCCTTCTAATTTTAGTCACTTCAATGTGGAGCCTCAGCAGTATAGGACTTCTGTGCAACAAATGATCTCTATATCGCTTAGATGGAGTGAATTGTTCTTTCTCTCGTCTGTAGGATATGTAAGGTCTGCCCAGGCTCACCTAAGGAGTTGCTGTCCCTCAGGGGATCGTTCTTGTGTCCTGTCCTCACACTCTGTATCTGTCTGTTCCCTCCCTTGTGCTGGTGTTAATGCGTTTGCGGTCCTGTGGTGAACCAGTTCAGAGGGATAATGCAACAGAAAATGAGTCACTTCTAACATGATATATTTTCTGGTAACTTGAGTCCCATGACCAAGTGGCAGAAGAAGGGAAGTGAAAGACAGATAGTTGACAGGGCACAGGGGAGCTGGGACATTGGAGGTAATGAGCTGTCAGATAACTTAGGTGGAACATTAGTTTGTGCTCTAATTTAAGTGCCTCAGTTCAGTGTCTAAAAATAGGTGTGATGAATTCAGGACAAATTGCCTTTAATTATAAGGAATGCTATTTTGCAAAAACTACCGTGCCCCTTAGGTGTTTGCTTTACTTTTGTATAGGATGTTTGACATCTTGCAATACTACTTTCATATTTGGCTAATAGTTTAAAAACTTGTTGAAAATTTCTATAATGCTCTTAGGATCTATATTTAAAACAAAACAAACCTGAGCATGAGAGAAAATATATTTGCACTTTGATGAATACAAAGACACAACCTCAAGAGATCTTAAGAAAGACTTGTGTCTGAAAGCTTATTTACTTTTTCCATATAGACTAACTGATGTAGTAAGAGATGTTTTTCTCTTCCTACAAGCTTTGCTTTGGAAAAAAAAAAACAGCAAACCCAAACTCCAAGAACAGCTGTCATAAGTTGGGAATGTTTCCCTGACCTTAGCACTAGCTGGGCACCTCAACCGTGTACTCTGGAGGGAGAAATCAGATTCATGGTAAAATGCTGATTGGGAAGGGGGTGGAGAAAAGGAAAAAAGTCCCGTTGATTCCACCTTGTGGACGTTAGTAGTAGCAGCAGAAGTAGTTCTGCAGAGTTGCACTATGTGCACAAATTTGGGTTCTCAGTGTGACTCTGATCTGTGGACCCTGTGGTGCTTCTGTGAGGTGGGAGCTGTGGGTGGGGGACATGCTCGGGGCATGGCGCTGCCTAACTGTGTATCTCTCCTGGCACAGGTGGACACGTGTTCTAGCCCAGCTCTCCCAGCCATCATGTGTATGGGTGGATACTCTCCTTGTGTCTCTCCCAAATAATTTGAAATTAGTTACAAGCTTCCCTTTTTGGCAGTTCTGGAACTCAGTCGTGCAGCATCATTCATGTGGGGTTAGGTGGTGGCCTCTTCAGCCTTGACCTGTAAAAGGTGGCTGGAGATTTTAAGCAGTCTTCAAGCTGTTAAGTACACTGAATATTCTTCACCTTGCTCTCCTTTCTTGGAGCTTAAGACTGGAGTTTGTTTGGAATATTTGTAGCAATAGAAATGCTACTTCATTTTATTTTTTTTTTAATGCATACATTTTCCTGTTTGCATTTTAGTGTCAGTCATGCTTAGTGTGGTCTAAGATGCATGTAAAGGCGTATCCTGTTAGAAGGGTGTTTTGCTTTAATGAGAGGGAGCTGCACCAGCCCCTTAGCTATTAAAGACATGAGCATCCTTTTTTTCCCCACAAGAAAAAGGCATTTTTACAACCTTGATAGGAGAGGTTCAAAATATGCTGGGAAATAAGCTCTTATCAGTAGTGTAACATAAAGGATAAGGGTTCTAAAAAAGGAATGTTAAACAGACAATCCTAAAGTAGTATGTATTCACACAAATAACCCACTATGTTGTCTATGAAAAGTCCCTGAGAATCCATGATATACAAGATGAAGTCATGTAAATCAAACAGCATTTTACTGTTTTCACTTCAGATAGAGCCTTGACTAGAGCAGACGCAGACCTGGCTTTCCTAGGGCTCCACAAGCATTTCAGCCCTCCTCTTTTCCAGCATTTGTGTAGCCAGATGTGCCATTCTGGAGCTGTGAATGTCGGTGTGGTGGCCAGTACAGAGCTCCTGTTTCTGAGGCTGCTGCCCCAGCCTTGTGCTGAGCTGCAGCAGGGATGTGTGGGCTTTGAGAAACCACTGGTTCTGCTGCCTTGGTGTGCCTTATTCCTTGAACCCTGTTTTATCTGCGTTACTTGTTTGAAGTGAAGGATCAGGGTCTTTTGAAAGTGTGAATTACTGAAGAGGCAGAATGTATGCCTGAAAATATGGTGGGCATACAGGTTGCTAATTTATAGTGATTTGTGTGCATTGTTTTATAAAGATTGTTTTGATGGTGTGTATTTCATTACTGAGGAAGCCTAACTTTTTCTCAAATCCATAGAATTTAGAAAGCCCAGCACTTCGACAAATTTCTTTTACTGTCAGACGAGGGGAATTACTGGCTGTGATTGGTCCTGTAGGAGCTGGAAAAGTAAGTCTTAATATTTAATCCATTCTGTAGTGGTTTTATGGGTGTTAAACATGACTAGAAACTTGAAAATATATGGTTCTTTTCTCTGTATAATAACACACTTCAAGATACTGGCATTCAAGAAAGGCAGATGTCCTTCTGGGAGTGGGAAGGAGATGGTTCAGAGTTAAACAGTACTTTGTGTATTGCTTCTAGCCTGTGTGTAAAGGGTACAGGTGCTTTTCTGCTAGCAGTAGTTTGAGTGACAGGGTGGAATAGGCCATCGTACCAATAAACACTGCTCAATCTCTGTGAGGCCTTTAATGCAAGCTTTTTACTTTTTTACTCTTTTCCAGTCTTCACTCTTAAGTGCTGTGCTTGGTGAGCTGCCTAAAGACAAAGGTTTGATAAATGTTACTGGAAGAATTGCCTATGTTTCTCAGCAGCCTTGGGTGTTTTCTGGTACAGTAAGAAGTAATATACTGTTTGACAAGGAATATGAGAAAGAAAAATACGAAAAAGTTTTAAAAGTCTGTGCTCTTAAAAAGGTATGAGTTTCTCTTGGTATGTTTTATTTTCACAAGCTTTATTTTTATCTTCGTGTCCTTTCAGACTTGTGGTACATGCTGCAATATATAATATATACAATTGATTGAGTAGCATGTGAAATAAATCCTGTCGCTTAACAGATAACATGTGTAATTATTTAGAACAGTGGGAAAGCAAGTTTTTGTAATCCTGAAATTTCCACTAGAGGGAGTTGTAGCTTGTGTGAAGCACGGATGCATTTGTTAAAAGCTATTCCCAATTATTTAATTTCATAATCATGTTTAGCGCTTTTTGCTGGTATTAAGGTAGGTCTGTGTGTAAATGCAATGAAAGGTGGAAAACAGTTGATCAGGCTAGCACTATTCGTGACTACCTTTCTGTAAAGAACCTTTATGTTGTTTGGGTTTTTTTAGGTAAATGTAATGTATATCATGTATTATGCATTGCTAACAGCTATCAAAAGAACCTTAGTGCTATATATTGGAGAACTTGCTGAACCCTAGTAGTTCTGTGGAAAAACATTTTTGAAAGGTCTGTGTGCAAAGGAGTTTGTGACATGAGATATAGAAGAGGATTAAGCCAGATTTGTCAAGAAACAGACATTTTGCTTGGCAGCCAAAATGGTTTTATGCAGCATGTGATGTTATTCCTGTCAGCAGCTACACAGGTGAAAAGCAGATGGTTACTCTGATGAAAATTCTTTTGCAAGGTTTTTACACATGGTAGATAGAGTTTTAATATCTCCTGCTGATAGTTACTCATATGTTGTTGTCTAAACTTAAGGTTTCAGTGAGTTTAAAAGACAGCAAACTGCATTTTAAAAAAAGCACTTCATATTTGATGGTAGATTTGCTTTCACAGTTTTCTTTCAAATTTATGTCTCTTAGAAAAAGCTTTGAAAAAACTTTCAGAATATGTTTTATAGCTTAATATAAAAAAAAAAATCTGTATTTCCTGAATAAGAAATACAATAATATGACATGCCTGTGGCAGGGGGTTGGAACTAGATGATCTTAAGGTCCTTTCCAACCCAAACCATTCTGATTCTATGATATGGAACAATGTGTAATTCTGTTCTGTTACTCATAGTTCTAAGCCCTGTAAATTAACCAAGTCAGTGTGATGAATGTTGTGGTTATTTCTCTTGTAACATTGCAGTAAGAATAAATGATGCATTGCAGTTCTTAGGGACATTGGCAAAATAATATACTGATAGTAATTAGTTCAGTTTTATTTATTGTGACAGCTAATTCTGTTCTAGTAAAAAATAACTAATTTTCTGCTGTACATCATAATTATCCCTTTTAATACTGAGAATTAAGTAGTGCAGCTGGTAAAGCTGTAGAAAAAAGAGAACTTTTAAGATCTCACCTGTTTTTCCTGCTTTCTTAATTATCTTTTGCTGAAGATCCAAAGTCATAAAGTAACTGCAGATATTTGATTTAATATGAGTCTTTGTATTTTAATGTGAGATGATAAGTTAATGCATTTCAAATAGGAAAATGCTGTGTTGAAGCAGCTTTTTCAGTCTTTGAGGTTAAAATCATTGAGAAAAAAATTATCTGTTCTTTCACATCCACAGGACTTGGAATTATTAGCAAATGGGGACCTAACAGTAATAGGAGATCGTGGAGCTACACTGAGCGGGGGACAGAAGGCCCGTGTAAATCTGGCCAGGTTATTGCTTTCTGCTGTTTCTAAAATTTACAGATTGTCAGACTTTAGTCACTAAACAAATGTGAGACTTCATGATACTGACTTTTCCTTAAACCTTTTAGAGCTGTGTATCAGGATGCAGACATCTATCTTTTGGATGATCCACTGAGTGCAGTCGATGCTGAAGTTGGAAGGCATTTGTTTGAAAAGTATGTTACTGCTTCATTTTAATTTAAAATACAACTGTTACCTTCTAATTCCTTATGGAAAACCTTGAGAAAGCATTCCTGGGGAGATGGATCTCTTCACAAAATTTAATGCATTCACTTTTCTGCATGTATTTTTCCTCTATTTTATGTATTTGGAAGATCTGTAAGTTTTGTTTCCTCTGTGTCTTTCATTTTTTCTTTATTTTAAAAGTCCTGTAAAGGTCTGTTTTGCAGATACAATTAGAATTATTCTTTAGGGAATGTATGACATATTCTTGAGGAAAATGTCAGATTTCATACGTGAGAATAGGGGTGTATGAGTATTAGTACAGTATGAAAAATAATATTGGGTGGGATTTTAAATCACTTATTAGTTTGCAGCTTTATTTACATAGTAACAAGCACTTAATTCATGTGGCTAAAGAAAAAGATAGAATGATCTTAGATTCTTGAACGATTTTTCATTTTGGTTCTTGAGTGGTTGGTATTTCTTTCAAGTAGGTGAAATAGGGAACTGTGGCCTGCAGAGTGACTGTGGATAGCAGAAATAGAGGAAAAGAGAATGTATAAATTTGCTATACATGAAAGACAGAGATACTGACCTTCCTTCATTCCTGAAGAAATAGGGTAGTGTTCATTAAAAGTCAGGTTCCCTTCTCAATGAATTTGTTCTTCTCTGTCTCTTCTTTCAAACTGCCTAATCTGTGGCACATAGTGGGTATGAGAATAATCCAGTTATTCACTGCCAGTGTTTTGTCCCTGCTCTTCATAGCCTGCGGCTCTTGATATCAAAAGGTATAATCTTGAATTTATTAGGAGTAGGAGGAAAAACTTCCACTGACTGAGTTCAGTGGGGTTTGGTTGAAACCTGAAATGAGAGCATTTTCTTGAGCATACTTACATCCTTTGAAATCCACGGTCCAAATACATGAATTAATTTGGTTTTACTGTTGCTCCCTCCTCTCCACCCCTAGAGAATCATAAAAACTTGTCTTGCAGAAATGATAGTAGAATTTGCAGTGACTAGCATTGCATTTGTGTTTTACCCCATGCAGGGAAGCTTTTAGTATCTAAATTTTAAAATAGTACATTCTACTGATGTTTGCAGTTTCAACTTTAGAGATCCCTCTGAAACCCCATCCACACTTTGTTTTATTTTATTGATTTCTTCAGATAGCTACTGTTTGTTTCCATCAGCCAGTATGGAGTAAGAATGCTATATTACTATTAATATTACTTCTGTAGTTTGCATACTCTATCAAATTCCTTTAATGCCTGTTGAAGCTGTCTTAGGCTTTAGCTGCTGCTTTTCTGTTTCTGCACAAGATTGCTCTACAGCTCCAATATTTGACTGTATCAGTGCCTGAGTTCTGAAAGTTCACCCGAGATGTTAACCTGTCTCTCCCTTAAGTCTTAAGGTCTTTTCACCTTAAAGAGGAAAACAGGAAAGTACAGTAGTGCCTTAAAAAGGAGGTAGGGTTGCCTTCTCAATTTATTCTATGTTTTATGTGGGCTGTGACATTGGATGGATCTACATCCTCCTGTGAAACTGAAAGTCTGGATTTTTGTGTGTGCAGAACCATAGAGGAGCAGAGAAATCATTGCTCTGCAAACACATTGTATGTTTTGCTGGTTGTTGTGGTTTAAACCCAGCCACACAGCTTGTTCACTCACTCCCCCCGCTTCTTGCCCTCTCCCTGCTCCTGGAGGGGCAGAGAGGAGAATCGGAAGAATGCAACTCCCATGGGTTGAGACAAGAACAGTTTAGTAACTAAGGTGTAACACAAATCACTACTGCTACTACCAATAATAATAAGAGAAATAACAAGGGAAGAGAATATAACACCTCACCACCCACCGACCCATAACTCGCCCCACCCCACCCGACCGAGCACCAGCCAATGCCTAGTCCAACCCCACAGTGCCCTAGCCCTTCCAGGTAACTCTCAGTTACACCCTGGGCATGACGTGCTGTGGTATAGAATACCTTTTTGGTCAGTTTGGGTCAGGTGTCCTGTCTCTGCTTCTTCCTGGCTTCTCCTCACTGGCAGAGCATGAGGCTCAGAAAGTCCTTGGTCAGACCAAACATTTGAGCAGTAACTAAAAACATCAGTGCTGTCAGCACTGTTCCCGGGCCAAAAGTCAAAACCACAGTGCTGCACCAAGAAGGAGAAAAAAATGACTGCTTCTGCTGAACCCAGGACACTGATAAATGTGTGGAGATGAAGAGGAATAAGGAGATTATCTTGAAGAATTTGAAACTCTGAAACTAGCTGGGCTTCTTTCACTTTCGTTTACTTTTCCTCCCCAACTTTAGATCAGTTTGAGCAAAACAGATAAAAGCATTTTATGGAGAAAACAGATGGGGTAGGGTGGCAAGGGAAACTGAGCAATGCCTCCCTCTTCAAGATCTTAAGGGAGGGCTTTTTTACAAACATGTTGTGTTCTGCATCCTTTGTGGCAGCTACAAAAGGTGCTGGAAGTAATAGAGAGAGTGTTATGTTCAATAGCTTACTTTGAAAAGCAGGGCAGGGCATGTTCTTTAGTGCTTCCTGAATAGTGCTAGACGTGTCGAGAAGAGAGAGGACTTGGGCAAGAATGATTTCTTAGAACATGCTGCTGAGGAATGTCTGAGACACCACTTCATGCAAGCCACCCCCAGGAGTCCAAACCACGAGGCATAAAACAATGGACAAGATGGAAGAAATGGGGGTTTATTTAATGAGAATCTGAAGTGGATGTTGTTCAGTTCACTCTCTTTTCTTTTTATTTTTTTTCTTCTTTCCTTTGTTATTTTATATTAATGTTTAATTTTTTTAGAAGTGTCTCGTCTGTGTGTTTACATCAAAGACAGGTATGTTCCTAGTAATTTCCTGAGGCTGTGGTCTGTGGATGGCTGGTTCATTACATGTGTTGCTTCTCCCCATTCTGTTCAGCTACTGCAGTAAATATTTTACAATATATGAATACTTTTCAAATGAGAGAGAAGACGAGAGCCCAGCTTCAGTAGGAAGGCAGTCCATGATACTTTTAAGGGGCTGTGTCTTGTGAGAATTTCTTCATAACATAGACAAGTTGTACCATGGATGATGAAGCACATAAAGCCAGCTTTCCAATGACTTCCTCTCTCCTGGTCAAATTCTGTGGGTCTTCTAAGGTATGAAGTGGAGATTCCCTATTTCTGTGTTATTTTTAGCCTCTTTTCTTGTGAGTTCTCTTGATAGTTAACAGTAGGCATGCTACAGCCTTTGCTCAGTGGGGAGGCACCACTATAGTTTTATGGTTTTGTATATATTTATGTGTGTATATGGAAATATGCATATATATACACATATATACATACATAATAAAAATAGCTTTTCATTAACTTTTAAGGAATGATATTTTGGGACCTCTAATTTTGAAAGGCAGGACAGTCATACAGATACAGAAGTACTTTTCTTTGTATGACGAAGCTTGGCGTAGCCTGTGATGTTCTAAGAAAATCTTTTAGTTGTGCCTGGTTAGCAAGCAAAGAAGTAGAAACAGCATAGTAGAAGTAGGTGTGGATTTTCGTGTGTCTGGCCAAGAAATTTCCTGCTCTCCCTGTACATCTTTGTAAACATATGTCTATTAATTATATGGTTTCACATAACGTTTGGATGGAAATTAAATTGTGTTCTGTTATCAGTGATACTGGCTCAAAAATGGTGTTTTTAAGAGTAAGATTTGTATTCTGTCAGTCTGTGGAGTCTGATGCTCTTCTCTAGTTACTGTTCTTGTATCTTCTCTGATGACAGGAGCTGTGTGGCAGTCTCAGCTGACAGCCTGATTTCTTTCTGTTCCTCCTCTGTGCTTGTGAGAGTTGCAGGACAGTTCAGGAATCTTTTAGAATCAGACCTAAATTTGTGATGGTACTTGTGAGTGGTCTGCACAGGCGTGTCATTCCTACTGTCAAACAGAATTCTCCAAATTTATACTTCTTTTTAAGCAGGAGGCTGTTTTGAATGTATGGTCACTTGTCTTTTCTTTCTCACTCTTGCCTCTGGAACCAGATAAAAGCTGCAGAAGAAATCACTGCATTTATCACAGCACAGTAGTGAACTTTAGCGTCTGTCAGATGGAGCACCTTAGTAATAAGGCGGTGGCTTCCTGTAGGAGCTCAAAGGACATGTGCCTGGGGAATGGGTCATGAGATAACCCTTGAGGCTGACTGGAGAGTCACCTGGCAAGTTGACCAGGTGTCCTGGAACATAAAGTGTATTACCATCTGAGGTAACCAAGCATTCTTCCGCAAGAAGGGGAAGGGAGCAGACGTGGTTTTGTAGCAAAATAATTGCAGAAAAATGTGAGGGAGAATTGATCTGACAGCACAGGAGAGTGGCAAATGCTATCATGAGAAGTTAATGACTTAAGAGATACTGAGTTCCTTAGTGGACTCTTACCTAAGCCCCAGAAATGCTTGAGGGGAGGAGCAAAATGAAGTAGGGAAAATGAGTAAAAGAATTCTTTATTTTTTTCTTTTTCATTAGATAACACAGATCTGAACATTTACTTTGTTTAAAGTAATCTGCTCTTTGGAACTCTTACGAGTTCATGAATGCTTCCAGTCTTGTATCTCAAAGAAGGGTATGCTTATAGATCATAGAATCATGCAATGGTTTGGGTTGGAAGGGACTATAAAGATCATCTGGTTCTAACTCCCCTGCCATGGGCAGAGACACCTTCCACTAGACCAGGTTGCTCAAAGCCCCATCAATCCTGTCCTTGAATACCTCCAGGGATAGGGCATCTAATGTAAAGCTGCATCTCTAAATCATGTTGCTCTTTTTTAATATTGGAACTTTGAGGAAAAACTACTGTTACAGTGGCGTAGGTGATTAAAAGAAAGCAGAGCTCATCAGTCCTGTAAAACTAGCAGATAAAAGCTAGCATGTCTCATTTCTGTAGAGGGATTACAAACACAATCAGTGTGTCAAAGGAACCAAGTAGAAGTAACTCTGGCATTTACTTGCTGGTGC